ACCTTTTTTTTTTTTTTTTTTTTTTTTTTTTGCTGGGACCTCCTTTGGTCCTTGCACGGCCGGCCCGCCTGGGCAAACAGGATGACCCAAGCGGCCCAACTGGTAGCCTATGTCAGGGGTCCCCGGGCGTAATGTGGGGAAGCCTCAAGAAAGTGTATGTTTCGTGTATATCTGGCTTGACGGTGGAATAGAGCTGGGCCCAGAATGGATATGGAGCTGGGCCCAAAAGGACCCGTTTCTTTAAACCACCACTCTACCCGACGTTGGAAATTCAGGGGACCAGTACCACAGGTTGAAGAGGGTACCGGTAGAATAGTGTGGAGAAGCGCCACAGCGGCCACAATGGAAAATGCGATGAATTGCTTACTAAGTTACTATTAAAAGGAAAAAAAAAGGTATCTCTATTGATTCTCTAACTTGAACTTCTTGGTTCATGCGCTATTCGTAAGGCAAGTGTATCACCTGGTGGAAAACAGGTCCAGCGTCCTATGAAATACCTTTCTCGGCCTTTTGGCTAAGATCAAGTGTAGTATCTGTTCTGATCAGTTTAATATCTGATCTGTGGTCCATCGGACTACACTTAAAAAAAAAATATATATATATATATACAAATCAGAATGTATATATGAGAAATTGGATGGGGCAGAATACGCCTCTACAGCCCGAACAGGCTGCCAGCTACTGTACACAGAGCAGCGGGGAGAGGGGGCAGGGGACCGCAGAGGGGGGGGGAGCGCAGGGGGGCTCCAGAGCAATGATAACGAAGAACAGAAAGAAAAGAAACCAAGAACATCATCATCATCATCACCATCATCATTTGCAGCAGTCCGATGTTTTCATTTTTATTTATTTTTTTCTACAATGGGGTCGTATGGGGAAGATACTCCAGACGCATTTTTCCTAAAGAGGAATGGAACGGAGTCACCAGCGAGGGGTGTGCGCTCTTATCATCACGCCTACCAAGCTGTGGCAGCTGGTGTTTACAAAAAAAAAAAAAACAGACTACTCCTGCCCACCAAAACCACTCAACCGATTCCATCCCCCTTCCGTCATTACTATGATTATATAATATATATCATTATCATTATTATTCCAATTTAGTGTGAAGCTCTCCACTCACCTCCATGCAGAGAACACTCTCTTTTCCATCTTTGACTGTGAACTGAAACTTCTCGTTCCACGTCGGGTTCGCGCTTGGTTGCACTCTGGTTTTCGCATCCAACTCCTCCCTTTCTCTTATGAAGAGCCGCACGTACAGCTGGGGCGTTCTGAAGATCGACGTCTTGAGATCGCTCGTGTGAAGGATGCGCACTTCTAGTACGCCCACCGACAACTTGTTCCACCACTGCAGTTGATCTTCCGATAGCGACACGATCAGCCTTTTTGGCCACACTAGAATACTGGAAAGGATGCCTTCCACGATCCTCGCCGTCGTCATCTGCACGGACGAGATGCTCATAAAATCGATTCCGCCCAGAGCCGTGGCAGCAAAATCGATTGTCGGCTTGTCGACCAACTCAATATGTATCGATTCAAAACACGGCAGTCTATACACAAGAGGCTTTAAGGTGATGCGCACAAGAGCCTCGGCTTGAACCTCTGAAACCTGGACTGTGGTACTTAAGCAAAAGAAGCGAACATCGGCAACAACGTTGGCATTGGTCGCAAGCGTGACCTTCATCTGAAAAATGATTTCATCTTCCACGGTCTCTTTCACCTGCAGCAAAGAAAAAAAGGAGGAAAAAAAGGTTAAAAAAACTGACGGCCTTAAGCTCGGTACACAGTACACCCATGAACTGTTGAAAATTGAAATACACAGACCCCAGTTCGAGTCCAGATGAATGACATATAATACTGAGTGGGGATCTGGGCCACCCGGGTGACCGAAGTGGGCCCGGGGGACGTCCCGGGCGGCCTGGCCGGGCAGAACACCTGGTTGAGGGTCGGGCCGCCCCAGCGCACTCACCTGTCGGGGGATTCCGGACCCCCTTTGTGTGTGTGTGTGTGTGTGTGTGTGTGTGAGAGAGAGAGAGAGAGAGAGAGAGAGAGAGAGTGAACCACGCTTCCTGAAATGTTCCA